TAGAACTTTGGGATTCGTTCTTTACTCAGAAGCGACTAGCATAGCTTTTATATATCCACGCGACCATTTTGTCAAGAGAGAGGTCGCTATTACGGCACCGTTTGAAGGACCTACGTGTAGGTCCACCTTTGTTTTCTGTTTTTTTTTCCTCTTTTTAATCCACCTATGGGTGGAATTATTATCATGAATTCAAAATCCGATCCGATATTTGTATCCGCTCTGAAAATTAGCATATCCGAGGAGTTTGAATCCAGATAAAGATAATAAAATCTAAAATCTGGATAGCAAAATTTTAAAGTTTGGATATCCGGATCCGGAAGCATTAAATATATTAAAAACATATATATTTTATATATATATTAAGCTATTTTTATATAAATATATATAATTGATTTTAGTTCTTTTTATAATAAATTATATTTATTATGAAAAAATATCATTCAAAATTTTAACTAATAATTTTGATATTTATTTATTAATTAATTTAATATTATTAAAACCCATAACAAGATCAGGATCAGGATCCGGATATCCTAATTTTTTGTCAGATATCTAAAGTCACGGATCCGGATCCGGATACTTTTGCCACGGATACCACAGATCCGAATTCGAATACCCTAAAATTCTAAAATATCCGGATTCATCCCACCACTAAATCCAACCATCATTATTGGATTCTAACAATGAAAAAAAAAACATATTTAACAAAATAAAATAGTAAAGAACAATTCAAACTCATACGGACAAAGTGAATTTTATTAATTTTGGACGATTCTATTTATGTTATTTAATTATTACTAGATAGGTAATTTTTCATATATTAAATTATATTTCTATATAAATATTAATTATCAAATAAATTTTTCAAATGGATTTATTTTTATAATTTAGTTATTGCCAAATGCATAAGTTTTTCCACATAGACATATTATTATTTCATGCTTTATTATATATCTTACTAAATATATTTCTATTTTCGTCATATAAAAGTATGTTCTATTCTCTTGAAATTTATATGTTATTATTTTCTTTAGTGTTAAATACTAGCATACACATTTACGAAAATACTAAATAAATATATTTGAAATATAAATTCAATAATATATAATGTTAAATTTCCAACCAAATTTTCCAGTTGTCACTTACCTAATAAAATTTTCTATATATTGTTACTTACCTGATTCACTCTATTTAGTATTTAAAAATCCAAAGGAATGAGTAGATAAATAAATAAAGAAAAATTTAAGCGAGATTGGCGGTGGAAGATGGAAGAGAAGAAGAATACAAGGAAGAGGATACAGTTGGCTGTGGAATATTATGGTTTATAATGCAACCAAACACATATAATTGAAATGAACCACACACACACGCTTTCATTATACACATAAGAGTGATCGAGCACCATTACATTTTCTTTCCTTGCTTCGTTGTAAAGCCGACTTTATATTATCATCTCTCTTATTATTATTTTACTTTATCAATTGTTATGGGTTTTAATAATATATAAACAAAATGGGTCAATCTAATAAATATATGGACCTTGATATGTCAAAATTAGTTAACTCTTTGTTCTGGCCGGAAGCAATTATGATTTTTTTATAAAGCAAAGAAAAAAGATTATCATCATCAATCATTGATTGGTATACGTATATGTATTTCTTTAGGGTGTTAAATTTTATTTTGTTTCAAAAATTAAAATTTATATTTTGAAAATTTGTTTATAACAATCATTCCGAAATTCTTCTTAAAAACTATTATTTTATGGTTATAGTTTCTTCTATCAAATGATAAGTAATAATAAAAAATCTCACGATTAAATCTTCTGATTAAACACAAACAATTAACAAAATAAAATGAAAAAAAAACACTGAAATTTGAATGTTGGCCAAACATTTGAATGAGTTTGAGAAACACTGAAAAATGGTATGTGGAAGAAAATTTCTTGTGTCTATCTTCGATCTCTTACCATCAAATCTTCATATTGATGTGTTATAATGTGGAAAATAAACCTAATTAAAAAGCTAATTGCTAATAAAAAATTTACAATAATGAATCATAATTTTTATTTTTACAAAATACATTTACATCTACACACAATCATTATATAACACATATCTCCACATCAATATCACAAATTGATAATAGCAAATTATAATTTTATTCTTACAAAATATATTTGAACCCGCACACGGTGCAGAAAATCATCTAGTATACTAAAAATAGCAAAAACTGTTAAATATACACATGATGTACGAATTGTCAAGTAAGGTCTACATACTGCAAGTGATTCACTGTGCTTCATTTCATGCATATTGTGTTATTCATGTGTCTCGAGCAGACGCAATGCATTCTTTAGCGTCAGATAGATAAATTTTCGGTTTCATTAAATACTTCTTAATGTCATTAATCATTTGTCGAATTTTCAAAATTTTGTTTTGTTTTATATAGCTTCCACTATAATAGTATGATTTTGTTATTGCATTTAATCTGGTACATTGGCATTTATCTTGATGTTTGAGATTTGTCATAAGTTCCAATAGGAACATTTTTGTTTTTTTTTTTGAAACTTTCCAATAGGAATTTAACGAGCTCAAATAAGATTCAGAATAGGTATTATACGTGAATTAGCAAACTATCAAGTTTTTGTCTCTCACAGGCACTGCAACAATATGTCACATTCATTTTTTCTTTTTTTGGTTAAACTGTCACATTAATTTTGAAGTCCACATTTTTTGTATTTGTCAGATTGAACATTTTTTGCAGTTTAAAAGTTTTTGTATGTACGAATTTTATTTTGAGTTTATTAAATAAATGAGTTAAATTGGATTGTTGCAGGAGCATAAAATTAGTCATCTCCGTAGTATAAAAGTTGAAGCCCAAAGTCCAATCTTCTCCTTATAACCATTCTTCTCATAACCAGCCACCTCTGCACATTCTCCTCGTACCTCATCAAATATTATCGCTTTGGCCTCATTGCGAATGATCCTCCCACTACTTACAATTTTCCATACATTTAAATCCGTGTAAGAGCTGCAATTAACCTTGAATAAACTTTTAGTATGAATTGGAACCATAGTTGAATTTACAACATAATACATATATATATCTATTTTCAAATAGCTCAAGCCATTTTTGGGTGGAATCGATTGAAGTTACCAATGATGCTCTCACCCCTAAAATTGGACCGATGACTGAATCAAAGAAATTTTTGGGTCGTAGGTTAATATAGTCCAGCAAAGTCTGGTTTTTTTTTGTAAAACACTAGTATAATTTGTTT